GTCCTCTCTTCCTGCTCTTGCCGACCCGGAGTCGGACTCTCTTCGTGCTGCCAGTCCCACTGTCACGCGTCTCCTTGCTACTGCTGTCACTGACCCTTTCTTCGAGTCTTCTGCTGCGTCTGCCCTTGTCACTGAGCTTGTCGACTTTGCTGCGCGCTGTCGTCTAGACTACGCTGCTAGTCTTGTCGCTGAGTCTGAGTCTGCCTGTCCTCCGTCCGTCGGGGGTGAGTGTGCCCTAGGCACGGACGTCCTTTAGGACACGCAGGAGGAGTTCCAGTGTCTCGCTCGCCCCTGAGGGAGACCCGGATGCACTAGACATCCCGACTCCGCGCTCTTACGCGGAGGCGATAGAGGGTCCCTACTCCTCTCAGTGGCAGGCAGCTATAGATGCTGAGATGGCTTCCTGGAAGTCCACAGACACCTACGTTGACGCTGTTCCCCCTCGTGGGGCGAACATCGTCAGTGGCATGTGGATTTTCAGGGTGAAGCGGCCGCCGGGTTCTCCGCCTGTCTTCAAGGCGCGTTACGTGGCTCGTGGCTTCAGTCAGCGGCAGGGAGTTGACTACTTTCAGACCTTCTCCCCCACCCCAAAGATGACCACTCTTCGGGTACTGCTGCACGTTGCTGCTCACCGTGACTATGAGCTGCACTCTCTCGACTTCAGCACTTTTTTCTTGCAGGGTAGCCTGCACGAGGAGATCTGGCTGCGTCGCCCACCTGGCTTCACTGGGTGTTTCCCTCCTGGTACCCAGTGGAGTCTCCGGCGTCCAGTCTACGGTCTCCGCCAGGCGCCACGTGAGTGGCACGACACACTGAGGACTACGCTGGCGGCACTTGGGTTTGCTCCTTCTACTGCCGACCCGTCGCTGTTTCTGCGCACCGACACCTCTCTGCCGCCGTTCTACATCCTCGTGTACGTCGACGACTTGGTCTTTGCCACAGCTGACACTGCTGGACTCGCCTACGTGAAGTCCGAGCTGCAGAAGAGACACACGTGCACAGACCTGGGTGAACTGCGCAGCTACCTTGGCTTGCAGATCACCCGGGACAGAGCACGCCGCACCATTACCCTGACTCAGTCACACATGGTGCAGCAGGTCCTTCAGCGCTTTAAATTGACGTACTCCTCGCCTCAGGCCACTTCTCTGCCTACTCGCCACTCGCTCTCAGCTCTGCCTTCGGATGAGTCCGTAGAGTCGAGTGGCCCGTATGCAGAGCTTGTTGGCTGCCTCATGTACCTGATGACCTGCACTCGACCTGACCTTGCATACCCTCTTAGCATTCTCGCACGCTATGTTGCTCCTGGGAGACACCGACCAGAGCACATGGCTGCAGCGAAGAGGGTGTTGCGCTACTTGTGCAGTACGTCGGGCATGGGGCTAGTGCTTGGAGGGCGCAGTCCAATGGTCCTCACTGGGCACGCGGACGCTTCTTGGGCTGACGACCAGGCTACGCAGCGGTCGTCACAGGGTTACACCTTCGGCCTTGGTTCCGGCTCTGTTTCGTGGCGGGCTACTCGCTCGTCTTCTGTTCTCGGCTCCAGTTGTGAGGCTGAGATCTACGCCAGGGCTATGGCTGCTCACGAGCTTCGCTGGCTCACCTACCTGCTGACCGACCTTGGAGAGCCGCCTCGTTCTCCTCCGGTCCTGTACGTAGACAACAAGGCCATGCTGGCCTTGTGTCGAGAGCAGCGACTGGAGCACAGGACAAAGCACATTGCTCTCCGCTACTTTCTTGCTCGTGAGCTACAGCAGCGTGGACAGTTGCGACTTGCGTACGTGGCCTCTGAGGCCAACACTGCTGATGTCTTCACCAAGGCACTTGCGCCTTGTGATCGTCAGCGTTGTTGCACGCAACTGGGTCTTGTGCCTGTCTTGCCTCACTTACTCACTTCTTGACCTTGCTTGTACCTTCACCTATATATACCCTTGCTCTTGCTTGCTTGACTCTTGTATATCTCTACATATGATCTTGCATGTGAACTGGCCTTGTGGCCTTTGAACTTGTGCTCGGAATGTGTGGTGACTTTGTGATCCACCCTGAGCTTTGCTTTGCTTTGCTTGACTGGTCTTGTGACCCCTTGTTCTCCCCCACTTTGCCTATGGGGGTGTGTCAGAACATATAGCTTACTTATTTGTGTAGGCCATAGTGGGGTATCCCATAGTGGGTACAACCCAATTAGGGTTTCCTATTTGTACTCACTTCGTTCATAGTCCTTTCATTCTCGTTCACTTCTTCTCAAGGGTTTGGGTAATTGACGGATGGGGGAAGGGGAGGGAATACGAGAGATGACAGGGAGGGTCGCATCATGCATGCTACGCGCCGAGTTCGCCTCGCACTCCCATTCGTCCATTTATCATCTCGCCGCTTCGCCCTCACATCTATCCATCCCTGTCCTTAGCTCGTCCTTGTGCGTCCCTGCCGCACCACCGTTTGATGATCTCTTATGCGATAAAGAACACAGCGCCGCATGCCAAGCTCTACTTCACCCCCATCACCGCAGCCACGTGGGGAAACGCATGCCTTGCTATTCTAGGCCGCCTTCAGCTCGTCTCATCCCGTCGACCTATATTGCCTTCCCATGCATGCCGTCGCACTGTGATCTGAATTAAACATCGAACTCTTGGATCTGAAGGGGGCGCATCCCGTTATACATTCGAGGCGCGTTCGCGCGAGAGTGGAAGGGCGACAATAATGTGATTCCACTCTGGTCGCTATCAAAGCACTGACACGTGGCGACACTGACGAATATTGCTGTGAGCAGATCTACCCGTAGACGAAGAGAATACAAGCTTTAGCTATGAGTGGCAACGGAGATGATTGTGCGGGGGATGTTGCGAGAAGGTATTGTGATGTCTAGGAGGGGTGTTTCGAATCTAGTTTCGTCAACTTTCAATGCTTGCACACTTCTAGCTGTAACCATCCCGCTGTTCGCAAAACACAACATTGCTCGCGGAAAGGAGGACTTGGGGGTTGATGTGCAGTCTACTACCAAGTTTCAAGAGCTGGGAACTCAGTACCTGAATAAGAAGCAGAACTGCCGTCTTCACGTGTCGTTTGATCGGGCGCGTGACGCTAACTTCGTCTGGCGTCATGGGATTGTCCACGTCTGTATGGATGGGAAGACAAGGATTAACCTAGATTGGCAGCACCCGGTGGATCCGGCTTATGTCAAGGCGTGTGCGGCTGATCCTGCGCTGGTGAAGGTCCTGTTCAAGGGGGTGGATGCGGTCATTACGCCTGATATGCTTCGCGAGATGCTGGTGGTGGTGAAGCTGGTCGTGCGAGGGAGGTCGGCTTTTAAGGAAGGCTGCTGCTTCCATCGCATCGTCAATCTTGTTACGGGGATGGATACAGACAAAGTGAAAGGCCTGGTCAGGCCGCATGCGGGGGATAAGTACCGCTGGCATCATCTGGTGGAAGTTCCTGTAAACAGTGATAAGCAGTTACTGGTACATTATCCATCGCAGCTCTGCTCCTACTGCAATGGTTTTCATATGACGAGGTATCATGATGTGTATGTGGCGGAGCGTCCGAACAACATCAGCAAGTGGAGCCTGTCCTTAGGACGGGTGCATGGGATCCATGGTAATAAAATGTGGTCTTCTATCAAGTGTTTCTGCTTACCCTTTTCGTTGTCTTGTTGAGCTAATGTAGTGGGTGTGTCGGATCCGCGTAGCCGCCTCAGTCAGACTCACAGATCTGACCAGGCTTATTCTGAAGGACCCAGTGCTGGTGTTGATTTCGACCGGGGGGAACCGCGAGGAGTGGATCTGCGTGCAGGAGTGCTGCGACAAGGCGTGTGGGGTCACTTTTGCGCAGGCCACGGAACACGTTGTTTCCCAGCGTCACAGCGATGGCACGGAGTCAGGCGCGGCTACCCGCAGCTCCAAGGCTGGTGTAGCTCCGCCGGCCGCGCGGAAGGAGTTTGGCGTGTGAGGCTGTTTCTTCCACCTGTGGGACTCAGCGGAGGGTGTCTGGGGGTGGTAGCGCATCTTGCGGCAAAGAAGGAGCATGTGTTGGCTGTTAGCTGTGGTGAGGACTCAGGATGTTGTATGTCAGGCGACGTAGTGGAGAACCTTTTTGTTGTCTCAAAGCCCTGTGGATGCAAGGGGGCCTCAAGGAAGTTGAACAATGAGTAACGCCAACCGACTCACCATCGTGTCCCTGAACATCAACGGGCTGGGGAGTTTAGGGAAGCAACAGGCGGTAAAAAGGTGGATCAAGTCAACGGCCCCAGAGGGGTCAGCCAGTGAGACAGGAACAGGTGCAGGGAGGGGCGTGACTGTGGTACTGTCGCGAAAGAAGCAGCGGGAAGCACCAGAGTCAAGTGTAAAGGTGTGCAAGGCCTGTGTAGGCGCAGTACCAAGGGGAGCAGACTCACAAGCACCTAGTGTTGCAGGGGCTATACCAGGATCCGGCGGCACACACAAGTAGCAGTCACCTTCAGCACTAACAGTCAATGCATACATAGCAGCAAGAATTGCCTCATAGTCAAGATCAAAGATAGGTACATCACGCCTAAGCAGGTCTGCCCAGTTGAGGAACTCAGTAGCATCAGGAAACTTGGCGCGCCAGGCGTCACTAAGCCGAGCGAAGCAGCGCTGCTCAGTGTGAAACCCTGTGCACTGGCGACCAGCGTGGGGACCTGTGCGAATGATATAGGGGCTCCAAGGGGGGTCTTCCGGGGCTCTGCCTTCAAAGAGTTTGCAGCCAGCCTGTCTAGGGGGGAGGACCTGTTGGTGGCAAGGGATTTCAACATGATTGAGGACCCGAATCTGGATAAGTCGAATCGGCAGGGGGTGATAGGTGACAACAACAGAATGAAGCATATGCTATTTGATTTCCATGTCAAGGATGTTTTCCGGGAGTTCTATCCAGATGAGAGGCAATTTACCTTCTACTGCAGATCGGCGAAGGTCAGCTCGAGGATCGACAGGGTGCTGGCGTCGCAATCGCTGATGCATTTGGTGGCCTGGGTATCTCACCAGTGGTTGCCGATGGGGTTGACAGATCACAAATACGCTGTCCGGGTGAGGCTTGTGTGGAGGGGGCCGCAGGAGTCAGGTCCTGGTGTGTGGAGATTCCCGGCGAGGCTCGCCGAGAAGCCGGGGGTGAAGGCGGTGATTGATGATGTGGTCCAGAAGCAGGGGGAAGGTGGCTGCGTGGAGTTTGACAAGTTGTCAAGGTGTTTAAACGCTCGCCTGCGGAAATATGACAAGGAAGAGAGGAAGAGGGTCAGACAGACGAGGAGAACTTTAGAAACGCAAGTGGATGCGTTGCAACGCAGAGTCATGGCGGACCCGGGAGATGATGAGCTACAAGCTCTCCGGACCACACGGGAGGCGATGCTGAAGAGGTACTGGGATGGCTGGAGGAATTTGCTGCAGACACGGACGGGGTTAAAGGTGCAACTAGACGGAGAAGCGCCGACTGCCCTGCTCTCAGCCCTGGTGAGGAGCAGGAAGGCAAAGACGGGTATTAAGGAGCTGGTACGAGATGGGGTCAGTTACTCCGAGGCGAAGGCTGTGCTCGGTGAGGCCACAAGGCATTTCACGATGGCGTTTGATGTTGGCTCTGCAGGCGGAGGTGAGGCGCGGCCGTTGCAGTGGTCGCCGCGGAGAGTGCTGGAGGATGCATCGGCAATTGAGCTGTCCCGGGACTAGACAGAGAAGGAGGTCAGACAAGCAATAAGGGAGCTGGCGAATGACAAATCCCCAGGGAAGGACGGATTACCTAAGGAGCTTCACCAGGTTCACTGGGAGTCGTTGAAGGGCCCAATGATGAAGATGGTCAAGGATTTCATGGAGACGGGGGACTTACCGGAGGTGGTGAATGAGGCGGTTACGATTCTGCTGTACAAAAAGGGAGACGAAACAGATGTCAGGAATTACAGACCGATAACCCTGCTGACAAGCACGTATAAGATACTGGCGAAGGTGGTGGCTTCAAGGATGAAAAAGGTTCTTACCCAAGTGATTTCAGGGGAACAGTACGGCTTCCTGCCAGGGAAGAGACTTACGGATGCGGTGTCGCTGGTAGCGGATATAATTGATGCGGCCAAGAACAAGAACAGGGACTGGTACCTCCTGCTGATTGATTTTGAGAAGGCATACGACTCAGTGCGTCGGGATTTCATGCTGGAGACAATAGCGAAGCTGGGTTTTCCACCGCGGTTTGTGGGCTGGATCAAGGCACTGCACAAAGACGTTCACACGCGACTGTGCGTTAACGGTTGGGTGGGTGAAAAGATTCAAATGCGTAAAGGGGTGAGGCAGGGATGCCCGCTGGCCCCTTACCTTTTCCTGTGCGCGGTGGAGCCACTAAGCCGCTTGGTGGAGGAACGGAAGCTGGGGATAGGAGAGGAAGGTTGCGAGCGGCTGGCGTACATTGGGTACGCAGATGACACAACGTTGCTGCTGGACGGTGTGCATCAGCTGAAGGAAGTGGAGCAGGTGTTGAAGGACTTCGCAGATGCGCCAGGCCTGAAATTTAATAAGGGGAAGTCTGCGCTCCTGCCACTGGGGTGCAACGTGGACAAAAGCGCGCCAGACGAAACGGAATTTAAGTGGGTGAAGAAAGATGTAGCGGAAAGGCTGCTGGGTGTCTGGATTACGCCAGGTGGGAATGGGGAGATGACGTGGGAGAAGGCATTTGACAAAGCAGCGGGGGAGCTAAGTAAGTGGCATAGCAAGTATCTCACGACGGGCGCGCGGGTGACGATCATCAACAGCTATGTGCTGCCGGTGTTCATCTTCCAGGCCCAGGTGTACCCGCCGGAGGATCTGCTGTGGAAGAGGGTGGAAATGCTGATAGAGAATTTCGTGTCAGGGAACCACGCGGATACGGAGAGACATTTCAGGTTATGGAGTGGGGATCTGATTTACGCGCCAAGGGAACAGGGTGGGCTGGGAGTGGTCGACCCGAGGGGGAGAGTAGACAGTGTCGCTCTGCGGTGTGTGGGCTTGGCGTTGCTTCAAGGGTGTCCGCTCAGAAGAGGTGTGACGGAGAGTGCTGCTGACCTGCCATTGGGGTGGGCTACACTGTATGCGCACAAGGCGGTGTTAAGGGGGGGCTTATTTCAGAGCAGGAGATGGGCTAAGCTTTGCAAGACAGTGTTGAAATCGTCAGTGGTGACAGTACCTGGTGCAGCCTCACGTTGGGATGTGGCGGGGGAGTATCTGTGTTTCAACAGCAGTATTCCGCACCGCGGGAAGGCCCCGTTTGGAGGTCAGAAGGGGACAGATACGGAAGTGGCGGATGCAGGACATGATAAAGCAAAAGTGGGATGGCACGATACTCGTAAAAACAGAGGATGAGCTGGCCCGGGAGCTAGGCGACAAGAAAAGTGCGGAGATGGTGCTCAAGGCTTTTCATGCGGCCCCGGCGCAGTGGAGGGAGTGGTTGCTTGCCCCGTTAATGGCGGAGGAGATTAAGGGTGTCTCGCCGGTGGTAAGCACCACGTTACCAAGTCAGAAAAGGTGCCTCTGGGAGGTGTGCGGGACCAACGGCAGGAGGGTAGGGCTGCAAGCCCTGAACGGCAGCGGGGAACGTGTTGCGTGGAACATTAGGGTGGAACTGCGCTGTGAAAGTGTAACCCCAGTGAGGCTCGACCAGGGGCGTGTGGTGGGGGATGCAGGTGACCCTAGGGTAAGGCTGCTGTTGTCAGTTTTGTTTGACGGGAAGGAGGTGGTTCTGCTGAGGAAGCTCAGGGAGCCGAGCAAAGGGGCGGAAGCTGTGGCGGAAAAACGGGCAAAGTGGGAAGCGCGGGCGGGGAGGAGCATCGATTGGGAACAGGGGAGGAGGGTAAGGGACTCCCTCGCTGTCCCGGCAACGGCGAGAGATGTCCTACTAAGGGTGCAGAATCTCAACCTCCAGGTGGGGGAGAGAGTCTATTTCTTGGGCGGCGGGTTGACGTGTCCGCACTGTGGTGGCACAGAGACGTTGGAGCATTGTCTGTTGGAGTGCCCCCACATCCTGCCGGTGGTGGCTGCGGTCAAGTCGGCGTTATGCATGATGCAGCCGGGGAGGCACGTGAATGACCTGGCAGGCCTATTGTTCGGGGCGGAGGAGACGGAGTCGGGTTTTCCGGAAGCGACTATGATGGCGATAGCGGTGCACCAGATCTGGCTGGGGAGGTGTGATGTGTCGCTCAAAAAGGTCAAGAAGCTCCAGGCTCGGAAGGTGCTCCGGAGAATAAATGTGGAGTTCAACAAACACGCGCACCTTTACTGTAGTAGGCCAAGTAATCAGGCTCAGAAGGATAAGGCACGTCGGAATCTGGCAGATGACGAAGCACGCGTGATGCGGAGGATTTGCGACAGCATGGCAGTGGGTCTGAGGTGGCACGGGGACTTCCAGTCAATCTGGTCGAACCTGAGAACTTTCGTGAAACCGCCGTAGGTTCGCAGGGAGGGCCGGGTACACCACCTGGTTTGAGCCCGCAGAATTAGTTACAACTGAAGTGTTTTGCTTGTGCACCTGTTGTGTAAGCTTTCACCAAAAAAAAAAAAAAAAAAAAAAAAAAACAACAACAACATTGCTCACGAATCAAGCACTGATGTGAACATCGTGAGTCGTGACCGAATGTGCAAGTCATTGCGTCGTTCTCAGTTCAGCGAGGAATGTGCTTTGAGCCAGGTAACAACGCCAGTGCCAGTGCTCCTTCCTCACCCGTTACGATTTTGCCAACGTATTCGCAACTGGAAGCGTACCCTCACTCAAGAGACGACGTTTGTACATACACATATCGTTGTATGAGGCGATCTATGGGTTCCATCATGTCCAATTTGAAACGCAGCACGAGTCACGAGCGGAACCTGCGCAGTCGTAGTTTCCCTCTGCTCCGTCCTCCCGCATTATCTGCCTGTTTCAACGGCATTTCAGTTTCTCGCGTGAGATTCGCGGCATCGTTTGGCGTGTCCGGAAGCCATTGCGCCTAGTAGGCGTCGTCATTGCCTCACCTCCTATCGACGTTCAATCTGCGATACCCTAGAAACAGTTCCGAGGTAAGCCTGGTTCGGTTAGTTCGCTCGCACACCGGCATTACCCTTATCATCATTTCGGCCGGAGTCCCTCCATTTGTCATTTCTTGTCCGTCTACCCTCTGTCTCTCTCGTCCTTTCATCCCAAAAATGGTGAGGGGTGTGACGTAGGTTCTGAAAAGCCTACGTTCGCACCCCAAATCTATGGCGCAGGTTGAGGAAGGTCGAGCGTAGGTGCGGGGTATGTTGCCGCAACCTGAGGGCATGTTGAACGCAGGTTCAGCGGAGGTTTCGAAACTGACGCGCAAACAGCCCAAGGTTCGAGCTTGAAGTTGCGGGACGTAGCTTTCCAGCTAGCCAATCCGAATCTCCCGAGCCTTTCTAAGCTGAGCTTCGAACCACGCTCGTGTATCATTTGTAAAATGCTGTACAATTTGTGAAGTTAATGTCAGATTTATATGACATAGCTATTGTAGGATATAGTGGGGTAGCACATATGGGGTACAGCTTTCTAGGGGTTTGCATTTGTACCCAACTTTCACTTAGTCATTCATCATTCCTCGTTCTAGTTTTCTCAAGGTATCGAGCAGGTTCCCCCGTGGGAACTGTTCCTAGGGCCCACCGATTCGATTTTTTTTTTCCTGCCCGGAGCGCACTCAGCCCCTGCCCGAGTCGCGCTCCCCTCTCTCGACCCTGTCGCGCCACCTTAGCGGCCCCATCGTGTCGCGCTAGCGGCCCCGTCGCGTCGCCCTCGCGGCCCCATCCCGTCGCGCCGCCCTAGCGGCTGCGTCGCGCCGCCCTCGCGGCCCCTATCCGCCGCCCCAGCGGCCCCGTCGCCTACTCCTGCGGCCCCGGGGCTGCCCTTCCTGGCCCCGACGCCGCCCTTCCTAACCCGGCCCCGCCTCTGCTGGCCCCGTCGCCTAGCCCTGCGGCCCCTGCGCCGCCCTTCCCGGCCCCGATCCGCTGCCCTGCGGCCCCATCGCCTACCCCGCGGCCCCCGCGCCGCCCTTTCCGGGCCTCAACGCCGCCCTTCCCGACCCGGCCCAGCCTCTGCTGGCCCCGGCGCCGCCCTTTTCCTGCCCCGACGCCGCCCTTCCCGACCCGGCCCCGCCTCTGCTGGCCCCGTCGCCTACCCTTGCAGTCCCGAGCCGCCCTTCTCGGCCCCAGCGCTACACGTCCCGGCCCCGGCCCGGCCTCTGCTGGCCCCGTCGCCTACCCCTGCAGCCCCGAGCCGCCCTTCTCAGCCCCGGCGCTGCCCTTCCTGGCCCCGGCACAGTCGCTGCTGGCCCCGTCGCCCGCCCTTCCCGGCCCCGGCCCCGCCTTCACGCGGCCCCGCCGTCACCACCGAGCCGCCGCACCACCCGAGCCTCCAGAGCCGCCGCACCACCTGAGCCGCTCGAGCCGCCGGGGCGCCGCACGCCGAGCTGCAGTTGCCACCGAGCCGCCGTACCACCGAGTCGCCCGAGCCGCCGAGCCGCAATTGCCGCCGAGCCGCCGAGTCGCCGAGCCGCCAAGTCGCCAAGCCGCCGAGCTGCAGTTCCTGCCGAGCCGCCGAGCCGCCCGAGCCGCCCTGTCCGGTAAGAGCAGCGCCTCTACCATTGCACTGCCCTTACCCCACTGCTTGCGCTACTAGTCTACTGCTGTCATGGCTACCCCTAGTGTCCTCGCTTTTGACGCTGAGGGTCGGGCCATTGACTTTGACGTCTGGGTAGATGACCTGCAGCTTTTCTTACAGTGCGATAGGGCGGACGGTCTCTCCCTCTTTGACCTCACCTCTGGTGCCTCTCCTACCTCTGCTGCTGATGCTGACGCCACTGTTCGCTCATAGTGGGCCACACGCGATGCTGCTGCACGTCTTGCTGTGCGTCGCCACCTGCCTACCTATGAGCGTGCGCACTTTAGCTAGTACAAGAGTGCTCAGACCTTGTACGACGCTGTAGTTGCATGCTACTCCTCCCCTGCCACTGCTGCACTGAGCCGCCTCATGCTACCGTACCTCTTCCCTGACCTTGCTGCCTTTCCCACAGTCGCTGACCTCATTACGCACCTCCGCACTAGTGACACTCGCTACCGCGCTGCGCTTCCTGCTGAGTTCTGCGCCAAGACCCCCCCCCCCCCCCCCATGTATATCACCATCTACTACATAGTCACCCGGCTCCCTGACTCTCTTCGCGTAGTCCGGGACCACTTCCTCTCAGTTTGCCCCACCACTCTTACCGTTGACCTCCTCGAGAAGGCCCTCCTAGCAGCAGAGAAGAGCATAGTCGCTGTAGGAGCCTCTCGTGGTGACCCTCGCACCCCCATCTTTGAGGGGTGTTCCCCTTCCCCCCTTTTGCCCTCTGTTGCCTCTGGTGCTGCGGCCGACCTCGTTGGGCTTGAGTCGGTCGGTGCGGCGTCTACCCCTAGCGGGAGACGCCGCCCTGGCAAGGGCAAGGGGGGGCGCTGGAGGAGCTAGCGGGGGTGGTGGAGGTGGCGGTGGAGGCGGCAGAGGAACTGGGGGTGGAGGTGGGAGTGGTGGCGGGGGTGGAGGTGTCGGTGGCGGCAGTGGAGGCGGAGGCGGCGGCGGCGGTGGCGGTGGGAGCGGAGGTGGCAGAGGTGGCAGCGGTGGAGGAGGCGGTGGCGGAGGAGGTGGAGCTGGTCGGGGTGGCCCTACACAGAGGGTCGGCTCCAGTGGTGGTCCGCGCCAGCAGCAGCAGCAGCAGCAGCGCACTCGTGACATCCCCTCCCCCTCAGCAGCTGCGTGAGTGGTATGCTGCACGTCAGCGGGGTGGGGGTACTGGTCCGTGCACCTACATCCTACGCACTGGCGACCGCGCGGGTGAGGAGTGTGGGGGTGCGCACTCCACCCAGCGCTGCGTTGGCCGCCTGACGGACGCTTGGCGTCACCAGTTTCCAGAGGCCACTGAGATCCCCCGTTGGGGTGAGCTGTCTAGGGCGGGAGTAGCTATCTTTGACCTTGACTTTGATGCTATTCTTGCTGCCATGTATGCTGTGACTATTAGTGATGAGGGTGACTGTTACCGGTGTTTTCCGCTCGACCCGGGCATTGAGACTGCTGCTCTAGGTGCTAGCGAGGCTGCTGCTCTAGGTGCTAGCGAGGCTGCTGCTCTAGGTGCCAGTGCGTCTACTTCCGAAGGTGCTGGTGAGTCTGCGCTCTCAGGTACCGCGTCGGCTTCGGCCTCCCTCACCTTCACCCTTGACTCGGGGGCTTCTCGCTCCTTCTTTCGAGACCGCACCACACTCACGCCGCTTGGTCGGCCAGTTGCAGTCTCTCTGGCAGACCCCTCTGGGGGTCCTGTCCTTGCTCACTTCTCCACTGCCCTCCCGTGTCTGACGACTCCCTCTGGCACCCTGTCTGGTCTCTACCTCCCCTCGTTCTCTACGAACTTGGTGAGTGGTGCTGACCTACAGGATGGGGGAGTTCACCAGTTCACTCCTGCGAGCCAGCGGGTGACCCACTGCACGGACGCTCGGACGGGCCGACACTTGGCCACATTTACACGTCGGCCGGGGTCGAGCCTGTACACACTGATCAATGCGTCTCCTCCTGTCCCTGCGTCTGGTCAGGAAGCTGCATCGGGTCAGGTGTTTGCTGCAGCGTCCAGGTCTGGTCCTGAGTCAGCCCCCTGCTCGTGTCGCCTCTTGTCTCACGAGACTCTCCTCTGGCACCACCGCCTTGGTCACCCCTCCCTGCTTCGTCTTCGAGGCATGGCCTCCCGTGTCCTTGTCTCTGGTCTTCCCCGGTCCCTCCCTCCCCTTCCTCCGGGGCCTGGCCCTACCTCCGTCCCCTGTGTCGAGGGGCGGCAGCGGGCTGCCCCTCACTCCTCCCAGTTTCCTCCGACAGATGCCCCGCTGCAGACGCTTCACATGGACGTGTGGGGCCCGGCCCGCGTCCGTGGACAGGGTCACGAGCGATATTTCCTGCTGGTAGTTGACGACTACTCGCGTTACACCACAGTCTTCCCCTTGCGCAGCAAGGGTGATGTCACTAAGGTGTTGATCGACTAGATCAGCGCGGCTCGTCTCCAGCTCAGGTAGAGCTTCGGCTCGGACTTTCCTGTTCTGCGTCTGCACCCGGACAGAGGTGGAGAGTTCTCCTCTGGCCTTCTGCGATCCTACTGTCGTGCACGAGGCATCCGCCAGACCTTCACGCTTCCGGACTCTCCACAGAAAAATAGGATTGCTGAGCGCCGCATTGGCATGGTCATGGACGTCGCCCGTACGTCCATGATGCATGCGGCTGCCCCCCATTTTTTATGGCTGTTTGCGGTTCGGTACGCGGCGCATCAGATCAACCTTCACCCCAAGGTCTCCATGACGGAGACCTCCCCAGCTTTGCTGTGGACGGGGAAGGTTGGCGATGCGTTTGCGTTCCGTGTCTGGGGATCTCGGGCGTTTGTCCACGACTTGTCAGCGGACAAGCTGTCCCCTCGTGCTGTTCCTTGCGTCTTCCTTGGCTTCCCCCCCTGACGCGCTAGGGTGGCAGTTCTACCACCCCACCTCTCGCCGTGTTTTGTCCTCCCAGGACGTCACGTTTGACGAGTCATTCCCCTACTACCGCCTCTTCCCCTACCGCACTCCGTCCCTCCCCCGCCACCGCTCTTCCTTGTACCAGGTCCCCCCCCGGTAGACCCCCTCCCCCTTCAGGGTCCTGCCCCTTCAGGTGTGTCCCAGGTAGACGCAGTCGAGCCTGTCGAGGTTACTGGTGACTCTGGTGCTGCTGGGGGTGCTGAGCCTGGGGGTGCTGACTCTAGGGGTGCTGAGCGTGTGGGTGCTACGATTGGGGATGCTGAGCCTATGGGTGCTACTACTGGGGGTGCTGAGCCTGGGGGTGCTGAGACTCGGGGTGCTGAGCCTAGGGGTGCTGCGCCTGGGGGTACTACGTCTGGGGGTGCTGAGCCTGGGGGTGCTACGTCTGGAGGTGCTGAGCCTGGTGGTGCCACGTCTGGAGGTGCTGAGCCTGGGGGTGAGGAGCCTGTGGGAGCTGGGCCTGGAGGTTCTCCGGATGGTT